CACCTGTTTTGGTTCTTCTGCAGGGAAATGCCCAAGGGCAATCAGCAGAATCTTCAGATCTGCTGGTTCACACAGCTACTGGAGCAATGGAAAGAGGAATCAGGTGGCATAAGAGGAAGTATTTGAGAAATTCTGGACAAAAAAAAATCTTACAGAACAGTGGATTACATCTGTACTACAGAAATATCAAAAAGAATGCAAATATTCACAAGAGCTGACTTTCCACCCCCAGATAACTGTTGTTTAAAAGGGATATTGCAACCTTCCTAATTTTATTTTGCTGAGTTTTCCTTGTCTTCCAGAGAACTAAGTACATAGTTTAGGGGTGTTTTTTTGTTCCAACTTCCCTTTAAAAACTTTCTGTCTTAAAACAAAAGGGCTATAGGAAGGCTCTTACTAGGTATAAATCTGTATGGTTTAAATTGAATTTCAAACTCTCCTTCTATAAGATGGTATCAGGAGCAGTCTGAGAGGATTTACCTGCTGTGTAGTGGAAATATTACTGGGCAGACCCCCTGTGACCCCAGATTACTGACAAATACCAAATGGCATGTAAGTAGACCTCTGATATCTATGAGACAGATGCTCTACTGAATTTTAAGTGAGTCACATATAAATAATGACTGCACAGATAGATTTAGGAGCTGGAACATGAATTTAATGCAAAGTTAATAATCCCTTCTGGAATTATAGCATTTCTTGAGGTAAAGGAGAATGTAATGGTTTTGTTTCCATTCAGTTGCTTGTCTTGGTACTGAGAACTGCACTTGTTTATTCTGGAGAGGTGTTTTGCTGGTTTTGGCTGGGATAGAGTTAATTTTCTTCACAGTAGCTTGTATGAGACTGTGTTTTGGATTGAGGCTGAAAACAGTGTTAGCAATTCAGGGATGTTTTAGTTACTGCTAAGCCGTCCTTGCACAGAGTCAAGGCCTTTTCTGTGCCTCACTCCAGCAGTGAGCAGCTGGGGGTATGCAAGGAGCTGGGAGGGGACACTGCTGGGACAGCTGACCACAACTGACCAAAGGGATATTTCCCACCATATGGCATCATGCTCAGCATGCAAAGATGGGAATGAAGAAGGAAGAGGGGGGATATTTGGAGCAATGGTGTTCTCTCAAGTCACCATTATGTGTGATGGAGCCTGGCTTTCAGCAGGGATGGCTGAACACCTACCTGTCAATGAAATTGTGAATTAAGACCTTGTTCTGCTTTGTTTGTGTGCACAGCCTTGGCTTTAGCTATCAGACTGCCTTCATCTCAATCAATGAGTCTCCTCACTTTCACTCTTCCAATTCTCTACCCCATTCAAATGTGAGGGGAGTGAGTGAGTGGCTGCATGGGGCTTAGTGGCCTGCTGGACTGAAGCCACAAGAGGAAGGAAAACAGGTATTCAGTCCATCCAGTGGATTTTTCTGAGGGGACCTAAGGGCAGCACTGGGTTTGGTGGTGTGAGCACATGCCTCAGAGACAGGAGCCCTGATTTATGTGCCAGTTTCCAGGACTTTCTGTACTTCGCATTAAGCAGCTACAGAGAGGCAAAGTGGTTTTGCTCTGCAAACAACATCCTTGTGTGCTTCAGAGAGAGCCTGCACATTTGCTCTTCTCCTTTCTTTTGCTCCCACAGAACTCCTCTGGCTCTGTAAGCTCCCACATAGCTTTGGATAGGGTTGAAAACAGACCTGGCCTAAAGTCACCTGTATCCTGTACAAGTGGTCACTAATCACTAAGCTTCTGCAGAGGGTGAACAGTGAGAGCTGCAAAGGACACAGACAGCTCCTGCCATGTTCCTCAGCATGGGCAGCCTCCTGTCCTGCACAGGAAGGAATTCCAGCCATCACTTAGGGGGCAAGATGTGGTGCCTGAGCTCCTGGAAAGGTCAAGATTTTGTGCATAGTTCTGGTGCCAGTAGCTGGCTTCAACAGCTCCTCACTGAGGCTCCCAGTTCTCTCCATGGAGAGCATGCAGGACCACCCGAAGCCCTGGATGTCCTGCAGGTGGCCAGCCACAGTGACACTTAACTTTGCTGAGCCTGAGTCCTAACACCTCCTGGGGTGTTCTGTGGCAGAGCCAAGAAATTAATTTGCCTTCCCAAACATAATTTTCTCCATTCTGGACAACTCAGCATTCTTCCTCACTCCTTGCTTTGCATTATCTTCTCCCAGATTTATTATCCTACATTTTTCAAATCAATTTATGTTTTATCTTTATTTCTAACTACTGTTTGCCTTCTCTGCACTGTACCATCTATCACTGCAGTCTCAGCTATTAACTTAATGTGATATCTAGATCTCACTTCACTTCCACGTCAATTTTGACATGACTTGGCAATGAATAAAATAAAGCAGGCTGGAGCTTCCTTTGCAAATTATTCAACTCCTACTTTAGAAAACAATGCACCTGTGCATAATAATGGAAACAGCACAGTGTCAAAGGCCAGCCCTTCAGGAAGCAGCAGAGAGCACTCCATGCAAAACATTTCTAAGTGAGGGTGAGAAACAAACTCCAAGCCACAAATACCTCTTCCCAGAAGAGACACTGCCAGTGCTGGTGAAGCGATGGGAAGGCAGATCACTAATAGCATACTTGTACCTGGATCTGACTTCCACCTCAGCTGGCATCATCATGTGGCTTCCATGAGAGCTGGCATATCTGTATTTAGCTTTAGATAAATCCAAATATTTTATTTTTTTTTCTGCTCTTATTCTATTACCATTAGCAGAAACAAACAGCCACTTAAGAAGCAGAAATGGCAGTATAGAATATTAGTAAAAAAATAACAAAAAAATTTTCCCTGGTGTATCAGAACTGGTGGAAGTTTATTTATACTCACACAAACTGAAATGCTGACAGTTACAAAGATGGATGATTTGAGTAGTCAAATGTTTATTTATCTTTATTTATCTTTCATAGCTGTGCTGGAGAACAAGAGTAAGGGGTCATTTGCACAAAGTCACTTAGGCAACAGGTTCAATGATACACCATTTTAATTTTGCTGTCATAACAAAGCTCGGGAACAAATGTCTATCTATATTTGTGTGTCTAGCTATATATCTACATGTGTGCATATGTACGTGTGTGTATATATGCACATATATAGTACAGAGAAGTTCACACTGTTAATAGGCTGTGGAGGGAATTCAGGGCACGTACTCCAGAGATTTCCATCTTTGCTGTGTCTTTTCTGGCACATGAAGGTGCATGCCAGCTGTACAGAGGTAATGGGAACAAAGCAGAAGTTTCAGGAGGAGCCAGAAGAGGGATGGTAACCAGCCCCCCTTGATTTACACCATCCTCCCCTGAGGACCATATAAGTTATGTCCACTATGCTGTGGCCAACCATGAAGTTGGTGGGATAGGGTAGCCAAGAGACTGGGACCTCTCCCTGGTCTCTTGTCCTGTCAAATTCCTGAGCATAATCCTGAGAAGCTGCTGGAGGCCCATCTAGGAGTACTGGTGCTCTACTCAGTGCCCCTTCCTGGTTACCTGCAGACCCTCTTTGCAGCTGCAGCCTTGTAACCCTCACATTTCTTTGTGGTTTTTTCCAACCTGGGAGATGACTGTTTTCCCCTGGATTTTCCCATTTCCTTCTAGCCTCTTGCCTACACAAGAGAGCTGGACAGTTTTGGTAGAGCCAGTCCCTGGCTAAACAGAGAATGGCAAAAGTGGCCATTGGCAAAGGACAGGAAGACTGGGAAAGGTCTGTGCCTCTCCCTTGTCATATGACACAAAGAAATGTGCCTCTTGATATCCATCCTCTACGCATGTTGCAGGGACAGAATTCAACACTGAGAGAAGCAGAAAATTGAAGGAAAAGGCAAAAAAGAATTTCTAACAATATTTTATTGGCTTGCATTGCAAGCATTTTGGAGACAAAGGTAATACTCACTGAGCATGCATTCCAGTCATGAGAGACATAAATAATAATAATTACTATTTTTAATTTCACTTTCTTGGCACTACCTAAAAGTTACATGTGTGGGATTCTTAGAATAAAAACCATTACAGCTGAACATTGTTATCAGTGAGAATCTAAGGAATGGAAACTTCAAGCAGTACCGACATGTTTTAAAAAGTGGACCCCAAGTTTATGAGCTGCCTACATTATCTCCTTCACTCTATAGGACTCCTTGCTTTCTTACAAGATTTTGATTTAAAAAGGGTTTTCATACAATGCTCCTTAAAAAAAAAAAAAAAAAAAAAATCCGAGTATTTAGTTGCTCAGAAAGAAAGACACTGACTTCAGGGGGCATTTAAGTGCTTACTTCATCACACTAATTTCCAGCATCATTGGTGCTGTGCTTAAAACACTTAGTTCAACTCTGAGCATGCAACTTCCATGGTGGTGCCAAGTATGGAGATGTATGTAGGTCCTTGGATTTGCTTCCATTTGTTAGGTCTCACTAGACCAGCAGTGAGAGTAAGGAATAACCTGCTGGCAGCCAAGGCTCTCACTGATGGGCAGAGAAGCAAAGGGGGATCTTCACCAGACCATGTATGTACAACAAAACCATAAAATTGCTATAAAATGGTGGTCACCGGCACTCTTCCCAATTTAAAGGGCAGCCCTGCTCCACGCTTGGTAAAGTTAAATGCCAGTCCTGAATTTCCAGATGTTCAGGCCTGTTAAACCTCAGAGGATGGGACTTGTAGCCCTGAGATGTCTGAATGGCAGACTCATCCATTCAGCATATGGATTGCTTTGGATGACAGAGGCACCATGAAGTTCAGGCATTTGCTGAAAGTAACTCAGAGACATTTCCAGGACACCAAGGCCTTATTCTGCACTGACCATCTCAAGCTGCTGCTGACAAGTGAAACAACTGCTGCTCATCTAACTGAGCCTTCTGTAAACTAGTTGCAAGTATTCTTTAACCTATTTAACATCTCAGCTGGGCACCAGAAGGTGAACAACTTGTGTCTTGAGAGAGCAAAGAGATGAGAGATTGCTCCTCATTCCCAGCCCAGAGGGCAGAAATACCACAGACTTGCATACAAGACAATTGTTTAATACGTTCACAAATCAATTTTATTAATTTAAAACAAAATTAATGAAGAAAAATTCTGTACACAATTGTGGACACAACACACGTTTTGTACAATAAGGCCCAGATAAACTTTGTTATTTTTTTTTCAGTCCGCAAGTGACTAAAAATTGAAAAGAGCCAAAGAAAAAAAAAGACAACCAATCCCCCCCATCACTGTCTACTTTGCTTGAGGAAAGAAAATGAGTCTCAATTCTAAAAACTATCCACAATGTGCTTTCTGCACGTATGTGAGTGCTGCATGAGTTGCAGCACTCATACTGGGTAAAGTAAAGCACACGTGCAAGTCTTAGTAAGATAAAAACCTCTCTGTTGGTACTAAGGCAATCCACAAATATTTTATTCTAGCAGCAATGTGATTCCTCCAATAGAGAAGGGTGTTGATTTGTAGCTACATTGGTGCTCTGTAACTTTGCAGGTAGCTGTTTCGAGGCTGGTAGTTTTTTTAAAAAAATGAAAGAAGAAAAATCAGAAAATTAACAACAAAGGTGAGGCTTATTTTTAATAAGATATTTAACTGGGCCAAGGGAATTGGTACAATTCAAGCCAAAAAAAGTCAGACTAACAGTTTATTTAACCAAGTAGCTCAAAGCCTTCAAGATCAGAAAAGTCACAAGTCACAGACAGACACAGTCTAAGTTTGTCCTTTAAGTTAGTACAGACAAAAGCAAATTTTAACTCCTTGGTGATAACCATTTCAGCATTTCCATTGCCGGCAATGGATGTTATATCTTAGGAAAATCTGACTCCTGGTGGAAGAGGATTAAAAAACTTAAATGTATATGAGCATTCTTGTTTAATTTCTCCAAAATATTCTCATTTCTAATTTCTAAAAATATTTGTGATTATAGTTTCCTTCATTTTTGGATGAGACAAAAGCTATTCAGTACCAAGGTTCCAGTTTAAGTTACATCTTAAAATATATTTGTGTTCTTTCTCTATTTCTTTATGGAATGACCTCCTAATTAATTTTTTTAATACTCTAAGAAAGAGTTAATATGTTAACTTTAAAAGAGGAAACAAAAAGACAATAAAGGCCTCCTCTTCACTTGGGTTTTATCTGTATTTGCTTCAACCGGGGGGACACACAAAATCAATCTTTTCATAATCAGAGTGGGTGAGAGAAGAAAATGGCAGAGAAACAGCTGAGAACAAAACCCAATTCCTATTGACACTTGACATCCATGCTTTTGGTCTTGACAAATTTATCTAAAAAAAATCCATTATCTACATATTTATATCCAACACATTGATAAGGCACTGCACAAGTCTGTGCACACGTGGCCTCATTCTTCACCAACAAGGCATTACTATCTTTCAATAGCATTTACCTTAACAATATGTAAAAGAATCATTCATTATTACAAATTTACACAAAAAATTCTTCCTGTACATGATTGTCTCAGTGATGTACCTATTCGTTTAAATTAGACATATTTTAAACTACTCTGTAATGTGCTAAAATCAAAAGTAGTAGCTGTACCATAAGGCAAAGGCTTATAATAGCCTTTAATCCTATTATACATATCCTCAGTTATATGATGTCAAAATACAGTCTGTTCATAAATAAGTAAAGATGTACAGAGTACCCTGGGTATGAGAAACCAAAACGTAAACCTTCTTTATAAGAAAATTACTCCACTGGTATTTTGTAAAATCTCAGTCTTCATTGTGCAATCAAGTTTGCTGTGTTGAAGTAATGATGTGTGTCACATTGAAGAGGCTAAAAACTACAAAGCATTTGCAGGTCCTTTTTCTTTTCTTCACAGGTATGAACCTCTTTTTCATTTCCTTTTCTTTTCTTCTTTTTTTTCCCCCCATTTTATTTTTTCCTTCTCTATTTCTTTTTGGTGGCGAATACAGTAAAGATGAGTTGTTCAAACACTCGCATGGCTTATTTTCGTTGGACTCGCAGTACCAGAGCCAACAGCTGTTCTGAAGAAAAGAACATGCTCCTCCCTTCACTGAAAGGCCAAGGGTTAAGACCAATTGCAGCTGTACGTCAACATGTTGAAATCACAGAGTTCTGTAGTCCAATGCTGACACAAGACACAGGCATCTCATCCACGGGCAGAAGGAGGCTCTGAGGTTTGAAAGTGCTGCTAAGCTGCTACAAGTACTCCAGTTCCAAGGCATGGTGAAGGGCCATAAGGTCAGAGTGGCTCGAGATCCTCCAAAACGGCATAGCATGCTGTGAACAGCACAGACAACATGTAAAAATAACCCCAAGCAGTCTGGTATTTTGACGCACCCTTTGTCTTTCACAGGGATAAGAGAACACTCAGGGGAGAGAAAAAGAGATCTTAAAACCTTGAGTCCTTCATGTTTATGTCTGGTTTCTCTGACCCACCTCGTAAGCATAAATTCTCAATAACAGCAAATCTATTTACAATCAGGAGATCATAAGGAAGGGAGGGGCTTCTAATCTCTTTATATAAAAAACAGATTTCAGAACACTGCAGAAGAAAATATTACTTCTGGAAAAAAAGAAACCAAATAACATACACATGAAGCATGTGGGTAGTTTGAGGAAAGGAACAGAAAGAAAATAAAGAAAGTGAAAGTTTTGTTTACTATCAAAATGTGTTTGCTTCTTGTAAAAAACTACTCTTGGCAGATGAGCTAAGAACAGAGGAATGGTGATTCAGAATAACTCCTGCTATGTGTGATGTGTCATTTCACTTTGAAAAGATTTTTATCCCAGTGGCTTGTATAACACTGGTTATTGCTAACACTGATCTTAGGGCATCTTTTCCATATGGGACATTAAAATAAATACATATTTTTTTCCTATTAGTTGTAATAAAATCTGTCTGGGGCACAAATACTTTTACAAAGAACCTGAATAAACCAAAAAACAAATCCCAGGAAAAAAGCACAGATTACCTCATTCATCAAGGCCAAAAATCTACTTAAGAACTACCTTTATACTTGAAACTAGGGGTTCTAATGCCAACAAGAACTTTTGCATAAATTAAAAAAAAGGAAAAAATATAACCATCAGCTTCTGTCAGGAAATTATTCTATAAATCCAGCGGGAAAATAGTTTCAATTCAACAGTATTATGGAGGCTAACATGATTGTGTTTACCTTTTCATTGGGTCAGTTTTTGTCCTGGCAAAGATGCTTTCATCATCCTACTTCAGCAGCTCCTGAGTAAATTCCTAATTCCACTGAAATCAGAGGCAAAACTCCATCTCCTCTGTCACTTTTATTCTGCTCTCCTTTTGTCATTCTACTCTTCTCAAATTTTAAGTTAGATAAAAATTTTGAAAGCAATGTTAAACTCACAGTTTCCAGCTGCACATTTACTGTAATTATTATACCTCTCTCAGAAAACAAACACCTTAACACTCAGCCTATCACATCCTCTTTGATATGACACTCCTGGTCTGAATGAAGATGCAATATGGACACATGCCCACATTCTGAGTATGCCCAGCTTTTAGAGTAAAGGAATTTCTTCAGGAAGAAAACAAAATGACCTCCAAGAAAACACGTTGTAAAGGTTTCTGTTCTGCTTTGCTTTGCTCTAGAGTATTAGAAAGCTTTGAGAAACAGCTGACTGAATCTCAGCTTGACTATAAATTCATGAGCGATGGCTGACAATGGAGAGAACAAACCAAACAATTCAGAGACAACAGAGATATTTTTTTGGAGAAAAATGCTTGTGATATTTCCAAAAAGTTTTGATTTTATAGACGGATCTTCTCCTTAAGAAGGAAATGTTAAACACAACAACATTTTTTTCCCCTACATCTTCAATCTGGACTTCCACTGTACTGTCTCTATGCTCCACCAGCTACAGAAGACAGATGCAGTTAGCTCACTCAGTTACAACTCCACATCCTAGGGTCTTTCTTCCTTGTGGCATTATACAGGCAGCCTACCCACTGTGCTCTGTCAGGCCAGATGCTGCTGCTTTCCAACTCACAGATTTCCTAAAGATGAACTGCTTGCATCATATTTAGGAAATTAACCAGCAAGACCAATACAAAATAAAAATTGCTAGTCAAGCCATTCTCTGGATCTTGCAAAAGCTTCTGTGCACCTATCTCTAACTTATGCTGCAAGATCTTTCTGGAAGAATTAGAAATATCTGATAGGGGTACTACATGAAACACAAAAAGTCACAGGCTTGTGCTTGCAGCAGGTCCATGCTGTGTTTGGCAGATGACTGCACAGGTTGGTGATGCTCAGCAGTGCTGCCTCCTTTTCGTGGCAACTTCCCTCTTCTCTCTCAAAGCCCTGTCAGGTGGGACACAGCTGGTCTCCCTGACAGCCAGCCATAGCTCTCTGCTCCTCCTCTTAGTCAGCTTGGCAGCAGGTCTGCTTTAGCCACTGGGTCAGGGAGATGGAACAGAATACCTATGATGTGGCTGGCAGAGACTTTGGTGGACACCTGCCTATGCAAAGTGTCTCTGCAGAAGCCAAGAGTCAATGATATGGATGCCCTCCAAGGTCAGGCAGCAAACCAATGAATAGAGAGAACTATAGGAATAAATTCTTGGCTTCCAGCTCCCACTCCATGCAGCTCCGGCTTCATACTGCTTCCCTAGTAACAACCTCAGCATCACAGATCATACACACACCAGGCAGGTAGAGCAGTTAAAGCCTCTGATTGATTTAACAGAAGGTTTAGCTTCTGCTAAGTCAAATTACAGCACCTCTTGCTAGATGCCCATGTGCAATATCGAGTTTTGGATTACTCTGTTTATGGGTCAGCTGTTGATGATCAGATTTAAACCAAAACTGTAAGCAGTCATAATTTTCACTATATATTTCTATCTGAAATTCAGTTGAGTGTTCTCTGCTTTAATGTCTGTCTGTGAAAGGAGTATACCTGTAACTCCATGCAGTTACAGCAGCGAAATGTGGAATGACAACAGAAGGTCTCATGAAAAAAAGGAGGTTGTATAAATCTCAGCATTATAATTATTTTCAGTTCTCCTTCATGTAGGTCTAAAGGCCAGCTGTACACTGAAATAAAGAAATAAAGCATGCCAGGAACATGGTGGCTGCAGGGTGCTGGAATTTGCTCTGATGCCCTTGGTATGGCTGAACGTGGCCAATTCAGATTTCTATCAGTCTGATCCTACAGTCCAGCCTTCAGAGCTGTGAGGAGGGGAAACAAACCTGATACAGCTCTATACATATCTGTATGTTTGTGTCTATATATAGAGCCTCACACATATGTGTTCATACATATGCATGTGTTTTCATGCATGTATGCATGTATGCATGTATGCTAATTTTCACCCCATCTAAGATAAAGATTGTATGAAACTAGAACCTTTAAAGTAACAAAACTATCATACAAAACCTTATCCATTATTCCTGTATTAACATGCACTGTTGATTCACAACTATTCAGCCATGTCAAAAGTGGCACCACACTCATGAGACAGAAGTACATTTTCTCTTGCCAAATGACTTGAGATCATTTGAGAGAGCAAGAGATCCTTTGTATATATGTATAGATGTGTATATGTACTAAATATTGCCTTTAAAAAGCCATCCCTGCCAACACTCAGCACATCCGTGTCATGCAGAACACTTCCATTCTGAGCCAAGAAAGAAATGCTAATCTCACATTTGCTGCTGCGGGAGAATGGATAACAAATGCTAACCTCTAATAAATAGGTGGTGAAACTGGATGCATTAGTACCTAATGGAAACCTAAGTCTACTATTTCAACATATTCTAAGTAAATATGAAGCTTTTGTCTTTTAAAAATCATGACTTTTTTGATAGATGATACTGAACAATAACATTATGGACTTTTAAATTATTTGATTTATGAAATTAAATATGGTGGCAAAATTTTGGTTTTGATGTAAAAAGCACAAAAAATGAAACTACAAATTTAGTAAGCTTAATAATTAGAGTATTATTAAATAATCTAAGATATTAAGCTATTTTATTTCTGAAATAGAAATACTTTTATTTTCAGCATGTACCTATTACATGTAGAAAACTTCAGCTATTTTACTCCACAAAACAATGTTGCTATTAATATACATGCAAAACAAATCCATTTTTTGATAGCAGCACCAAAAAGTGCAGATTATCCTCTATCCTTCTTCCCTTAAATGAATACATATTTATGCAAAAAACTTACTCCTGAGATTTGTGATGGATTTGAATAGAAAACTCATCAGTTTTTGTCATCTTTCAGGGTATTTTTATTGTATTCCTGCCAGATTTGCTAAGCGGCTCTCTTTACTTCCTATCCCAAACCTGACCAGCACAGTGTGACTCTGAGCTTAAAAGCAGTGGCATATTGGATACCCATTCATATTCTCTTTATTGCTCCACAAAGATTTATGATTTTTCCTCCAAGGCAGCATGACCATTTTGGAGACAAAGGAGAAGCCCATTTGCCTAGGCTCTCCCGAATCACCTGATGTAAAATCTAGCTCCTCAGTGCAGAGAAGCCTTTGTCTCATCTCACAAATTAGAAATCCTTTGGAGAATGCTCCTAAGCAGAAAAACTCAGGAGCTGGGTTTTTTCTGTCTTATTAGTATTTCCTGAATGTGTCTCCAAAGGCAAAGGCAAAAGATGAGCACAAAACAAAACATAACAAAACACAACAAAGCAAAAGAAAATAACCTCCAAAACCAAAACACAAAACAAAGCAAACCAAAATGCTGAGACAATGGAGTCTCTGGCAGAAACCCCCAGACCCTGGCACTGAGAACTGCTGTGTCACCACAGTGGCACTCAGAGGCGGTGGCTCTGACCCACACTGGCACTGGTGCCAGCAGCTCCAGAGCACCCTTTGGACAAAAGGACACTGGCTTCTCTCTGCCCTCCTCTCCCTCTTTTCCTGGGGAAGCTGAACCTTTGTGTGAACCATTGTGTGAACCCTGGTGTTACAGCCAAGCTCACTGGCTGCTGCACTGACCCAGAAGGGTACGATCATTCCTCAATCCACAGTTCAAACATCCTAAGAGTTTTAATTGTCTCCACAAATATTTTGCTGGAAGTGGCAGCTAAACTAAGGTGTCAATATCATAGTTTGACTAATGCTACCAGAAATGTAACACTGTGCAGTTTCCTCAGTGTATTACATTTACTTATGTCACCCAAAAGAGGCATTTTATGAACAAACTGTTTATCCTAAAAATGTTTCTCAACAAAGCAATGATCTTTTAAGTGGCATTAAAAAGTTACTATCATTGAATTTTTATACTAATGACATTAATAAATATATTTTAAATGTTTCTTTTGCTTTCCTACTGCTGTATTGACTCAATGTTGTCTGTGAATGAAGGACATACATGAAAATCTTGTTTTATGATAAAGCAATTTATAAATTATTAGTAAATTATTTTAATAATAAACCTTAACTTTCTCACCTCCTAAGCTGGAAGTTCAACCTTTTTTTAATCCACTGAATGAACATGGAATAAAAAAAACCCTCTAATTAAATAGGCTTGAATTTATATGCTCACTTGAAAAGACTCATTACAGTTTACGTGTAAACAATGAAGGGCTATCTAAAGAAGGTTGTACTGTTTATGCTCTAAACAGTGTAAAGAAATACACGTATGCTAATGGCTTCACCAGAGGCAAAAGCCCTACAAAAAAGTGCTGTGCAAAGGGGTACAGAAGACCTGTCCCTTCTCTGGAGAATACCACAAAACCTGACATGCTGATGGCAAGCAAGGCGAGAAGGAATCAGCTACCAAAATTCAGGGGTAAGCATAGCAATGGGTACGTCACAGGACAGTTATGCCACTCTGTATTGAGATGCTTTGGGTAGTTTTGGGGAAGCAAAACTTCTGGGTTTTTTGTGTGCTCTCCAAAGAAGTCTCTTGCAGGATGTGAAGGAAAAAACTAAAAAGGAAAATCCTGCATTCACAGAGGGAAATGGTGATTTCTTATTCGGTGGAGTACGAAGCAGGACAAGAATCACAGAAGCATTTTCCTAAATCAGATTGATAGTTTATGCAGAAAGGCAGGGCTGCTGGTCTACTTATTGACTTCTCTGGCATTGCTGCAGCAGATAATTTAATCCAGAGCACCTAACATGCTTTCAACCTGAAAATTCCTTCCACCAGGAAAGAATACACACAAGTAATTGCACAAAGGAACTTTCTATACTGCTACTCCTCTTAGCGACTGGAAAGGCTTTCTCTTATGCTATTCTGAATCATGTTTCCTGTTGAAAAAAGCAGTGGAATAGATAATGTTACCAAAAGGACTACTCCTGCCATTATCATATACAACACTATTTCACCGAGCAACAGAAAAGGAACAAAGATGAGGAATTTTTTTTTTCCCCTGATCTTAAATACAGCTTTTAAAATGTAATCATTTGCAGCAGGAAAACATTTCTCTGCAAAGATGAAAGGCATTTCTGAAGGAGAAAGGAGCAAACTGTTCCCGTCAGCCCGCCAAAGGGATATATGAAACTGAGACTCTGCAAAGTGCTGGGACGAGCCGGGAACCTACCCGCAAGGCTTCAGGGGCACAAAACCCAGATTTCATGAAGCAAAACCAGTCAATGGTTGTTAAAATGCCATGTGGACTAATTAGTTTCACTTCTCCAATTTAGAAAGTCACAGTGGAAAGAGATAGAAGTATCACAGAGAGTTTTGTGGCGAAAAAGCAGCTGTGTAAAAGCAATTTATCTGTGAAAGGAAGCAAGAATAAAAATGCCCATTTTCCTGCTCTTTCTCCTATTATTCAAATAGCCAAGGTTATGCCTCATTCCTCTAAACAAAGAGTGTGTATACCTTGGGTAGTTTTTCTAACAGGACTACAAATAAAGCCCATTATTTATGAATGGGAAGTGTTGCTTTTTATACAGCTTAATTCACATTGGGAAAAAAAAGTGATTTTTTCCCTTCTTCTCAGTGGAAAGCAAAAAATAATAGACAGTCAAATAATATCCTCTGCTCAGTTGTCTGACATTATGAATGCATGCCAACCCACAGGTTGTTGTCTGAACAAAGAATCCAAATTATGGACACACAAGAAAACGGAAATTCCTGTATACCTACATGTCTTTTTAAGGTGTGACATATATGTATTTCATACAGTCAAACAGCACACTGCCTTTGATCACTAAGAATCACCATATTTTGCTTACATTCATAACATCCTATGTGGTATTTTGGGTTGCCAAGGAAAACAGAACTGTTAGTTCTTGGCACAAAAGCCAGGGCCCATTTTCTGGCCCCTTTTTGAAATGCATCAAACATACATAGTTTAATGTGTCTTTTGGAGAACAGCAGGGCAAATCATTATCTGTAGTCTTACCTGGCTTTCAACTAGATATAGTCAACACAGATTTTATAAGACAAAGATATCCAACCTAAATGTCCGTGCATGCTGTCCCATGCTGAAGAAAAGACAATTTTCCAGACTCTTGAAACCAACCCTCCCCAAAAGAAGGTCATTACCTTTTTTGCGCCTTGTTCTTCTTCGACACCATCTCCTATAACAACATACACTACTTTTCTTCCAAATCTTTGGATTATTCTCTCAAAACAACTTTCCTTTCCTGAAAGAAAAAGATCAGACTATTCAAGATAGGTGGTGATGGGATGTCATAAAATAAATAACTTTTTAGCTGGATCTCCCCAGCCCTTGGAATTCTTAAGTAGAGCTACAAAGATGAGAAGAGTCTGTCCCTCAGGATGGTCTATCAAGGCTGATTGCAGCATAGACAGCATACTAGAGGTCCACAATATGACCTTTCTTGTTTCATTCCCTAATATGACACAGGTTTTGTGGGGAATTTCACCACCAGGAGAATTATCTACCATTTGTTTATTACCAGTACCTTGATTTGAGTAAATTGATTGAAGCTGAGTTGAAATTCTAGCTTTTTATCCAAAACCTGTGACATGATTAATCACAGCTCTTAAAACAGTAGCACCCTGACTTAGAAGGTCACCCAAAAGATTAAGATTTTAATGCCTGTAATCTAATACATGGGCCATGTCCTTGATCCTGCACTGGGATCCATTCATATAGGTCATTCCTTCCCTGCACACACCTAGGGAAATTATCTCAGTGCTCCAGCCCTATGCACAAGTACCACAGAAATACAGAAATGTTAGGGGTTGGAAGGGACCTTAAAATAATCTAGTGCCAACTCACCCTGGCATGTGCAGGGACACTCGCACTATAATAGGTTATTTAAGGTTATCCAAGGCTATCCAAGGTTATCCAGATTATCCAAGGCCTTACCCAACCTGGTCTTGAACACCCTCAGGGTTGTGGCATCCACAACCTCTCTGGACAACCTGTTTCAGTGTCTCACCACCCTTACAATAAAGAATTTCTTCCTAAGATCTAACCTAAATTTCCTCTCTTTCAATTTGTACCCATACTGGGAGGTTTCAGGTATGGTACTGAGAAGAAAAAAGAAAACAAAAGCCTAAAGTTGAGTTTTCTCAAATGTCCCCATTATGAAAGGTCACTTTAGTCTGGCCATAGGTCATGCTAACCTGAGTGTCTACAGCAATGGATAGGACAAACTGTGGTTTATAAAATAGTTATTTCAGCCAAAAAAAAAAAAAAAAGTGTAAGAAAAAGTAGGCTGGAAATTAAATGAAGTTTTCTAGCCATTACAGAATCCAAACTACTTAATGGTACCATTTAACAGTAGCATCAGGCATAAGAAACCTCCAACACTAAGTTGGAGCAGTGTTTGAATATTACGAATCATGTCATGTTACAAAAATCTCATGGTTTCCTGTGACAGTCAGTGACAGAGCATATTCTTCCAAAACCACCCTTCTATCCCATGTATGTAAAGTCACAAGTGAAAATTTATTTAAATATGTTTTAATTAAAATGTGTCTTTATAGCATTACATTTCAAAGCTATAATTTACTGTAAAGTTTTGATAGAGGGCACTATAACTTTTTTATTGAGGAAAAAATTTAAATATTTATGGGAATGTTTTCAAATTTCTCTGCAAAACTGTGAACCAATTTTTGTTTCGTCTTGTTTCAAAAAAAATAAAATCAAAAAATATCCCACCATTTGAGCTTGCTGTATTATAGATACTTCAGAACACATGAAAAATGTGTTCTTGTAGCCCACAATTATGGGGGAATCTGAGACAGAACAGATATGTCATAATCACATTAAAAACTACAAACACCATTGCCATCTGGTCTGGGGTACTTCCATATACTCAAAATAACATCTTTTATACTGAACCAGAAAACAGAAATAAACATTTGTCTGGCTGAAGCTTATTACAGTCAGTATGAAAAAACTTAAATAATTACATTCTGCAGCAAAACATTCTTGTTTCTGGTAAATTGTTTACCAAAATTTTCTCTAGAGCCCATGAAAACAAATAAGCCAGGGCTTACCTTTACAGAATTTCTCCTACTGCTGCTCCAGGGAGACTTCAGTGTTCTTAACTTACTGCCTATTAAAAACCTTTCTCAACTGCTACACAGCCCCACAGTTTTGAGAAATGATGAAAAAAAACCAATTTTTTTAAACATTTATTCCTAACAGAGGCTGTACCACTGTTAATACAGCTATAAAAAGCTTTCTGTGCTGGATCATCACACATTCGAAAAGCACTTTTAGGATGCTTTAGCAATGTTTCATGAGGATCATGAAAGGTGTTACTAATCTTTGTATTTGCTACAGTGAAAGCAAGTTAGAATTAAATACAGTCAGACTACAATACCTTTAATTTTTAGAATTACAGCTTTAAATGTATCACAACATGATGAAAATAGCTCACCTATTTTAGTTGCACTGTAAATATTCTCTATGGGAAATACAACACCTAGTCCATACAACAAGACTTTTGCCAGAGCTGGAATTAGCTGAGTAGTTGTTACGAGAATGTTCACACAGTTTGTCCTATGGAAGAGAAAATGCAAATGTCCTTTTTTAACAAAACAGGAAAAAATAATAAATGGAAAAAAAAAAACAGAAGGAAAATCTTAACCCTCCCATAAGAACCCCTCAACATTATTATTATCACTTAAAAATAATATTTTTTTTTACTACCGTATCAAGGAACAAGGTGCAGCAGTGAGATCAGAGTAAGAAATGAGGATAAGGTCCTCCAGCTTCAGCATTTTGTCTACTACACCAGACAGCCTCTTCCAGACCATCATCAGACACGCTAGAGCTTCCTTCCTACTCTTAATACTCACCTCGAATGTATGAGGGTGAGTGCTTTCAGTGCAAGTGTTAACCAAGAATCTGTCAAAGCTTCAATTTCTGCTCTCAGTTGTAACCAAGCCTCTCTTTTTGCTGGACCAAGCAAACCTGTGGAGTAGACAAGGGCATGTCTGCACTGGTACTAAGCAGTGCTCTGTCATTTTCCTTTGCTTTCACCAGCTCAGACAATTTTCTGCACACTGCAAACACAGCACACTAAACACTCCTAGAGAGGAGTAGAAACCAGCTCTTCCCATTTCCGACCTCTAATCCGTGTTTGTTAGACACTCCAGAGTCACTTGCCTCCAACATTATTTTTGTAGGTGTTGTATATTTCTTTTACTCGTCTGTAGCGGAAGGCCAGTTTCCGCATCCAGTCCACCCCTCCGCGCACACCGGTCGCCAGGCACAGATTGGCGCTGGTGGCAGCCGCAGGAAAGCCGTCTGTTCCGAAGTTATATGTGCTAGGCAGAGATAAAAAACCCCAGAGATTAATGAAAGGCAACAGGCTACATGGAACCACCCGCTACCCACGTGGCTGGGTTGCAAAGAAGACAGTTAAAAGAGAACAGGTTAATGTGAGCATTCCAGCAACCCATCCCTTGCCCAGGAAGGAATTTGCAAAGCAGCTTTTTATCTTAATGAGTTCTCTTGTACCTTAAATCTTGACCGTTATCATCCGAAGACACGTCATCAATGTGAACCTGGTCGCATTCCTAAGGTAACAGAGAGATTTTATAATTTTCTTGATTTTGCAAATCTTTAAACAAAGCTTTTTATAAAATCTATGACCAATCTAGTCATCAGGGATATTTTTAATTGTGGAAATCAGTAGATGGCAGTCTTGTTAAAACAACTATTTTACCTATTCCTTGTGCTCATTTCTTAGAATAAATACACACCGTCATTAGCTACTACTGTTAAATGGCTTTCCAAAAACACGTTTTTGTGTTTAGAAAGGAAAGTGGTTAAAAACAATTAGCATATGTGTTCCATAAATGTTCTTGTAGCCTTTCAGGTACCTTAAAACATCATGCTGCTCAAAGCTGATTCAGTCAGTGCATAAGTGTAACTGAAACCAGACATTTTGGTAAATGTAACATATTAGAAAAATTAAACCTGATGCTAACCGCCAATGAAATTATGACCTCTGATTGCTGTTGAGCCACACACCAACACAGCCTGAGGCCAGTGTTTCAGAGCAGTGCAGATGAAAAATCTGTTCCTAGTTTGCCATTCATTTGAGAGTTGTGAGTTTCCTTCTCTCTCTTTGGTCTTAGTGCATGAAAGCAGCAAGCAAAGATGAAGAAAATCTGAACAGAAACACCCAAATCAAACCGTCTTTCTTCAGCAGCTCGTCTGCAAACTAACACAATATCTTAAAAATTAGCTTTGTCCATGACTAAATTAAAAATTGCAATGTATATTGTTTATCCACAAAAAAAAAAAAATCCATTAAAACATTACTATTAACATTTTAACCGTTGGCAGGAAAACAAATAAACCTCTGACACTCTAGATCAATATCAATTCAATGCTTGTAACAATAATAGATTTCAATTATTTTAATAATTTCCTCTTCTCTCTCCTAATGTGAAGCCCTATAATAAATATAATCTATTTTAAAGATGAAAATACTGCAATCCTTTATTTTTGTGTTGCTTTACTCTGAACAAATTTTTCTCTCTCCATGGATTTGTGAGGAAGGGAGGGAAGATAGAAGTGGAAAGAAACTCAAACCAGCTGTTCCCTAACAGAATTAAAATCATGACCCTCAACCCTTTTTCTAAAACATCTATTTTCCAGCCAACCCTCTCCCAGCAAGCAGCAAGCTCCAAGGAGGAAAAGACTTTGACCCTGTAACCTTCTCCTCCTCTCCTGAGGTCAACAACCTCAGATAAGAAAAAAGCTGAAGAAGCCTATGTGGCCTCACATGGTGGCTGTGGATTCTAGATTTTTAAAAACATTGGTTTACAAAAAATGCCTCAGAAACTTGAAATGTTTTGAAGAACAAGGTGTGCTCTTTTGCACTTGTACAACATATTCCTAGTACAATGCTTATTCTTCTGTATCTTATGCATAGGTAGCTTGTGCTAAAGAGAGAGATAGGAGTGATAACCAGCACAGCAGAGACAATACTACATTTGCTCATATTTAACCAGCACACAGTGAATTTCCTCCTTAGGCAGACAAAATGCATTAGATGTACAGACACAGCTGAAACTGCAAGTGTGAGCATATGCTGCCAGGCTTTGAAAATCAACTTGGCAGAAAAAAGACCCAGAAGCTTCTTCAGCAAGTTATCAAATTCACATAATTTTTAAACTGTTTTTCTGTTTAAAACCTAGAGCAAATGCCCATCCAAATGCGTACCACATTAATAATTCAAATATGAGCTGAGTGTAAGCTAAAGAAGCAACACCCTCCTGAATTCATGATAGTTTCCCACTTTAGTTACTCTTCTACTGCTCAGTGATTTCTCCTTCTCCAGCTTAGAAACTATCAATGACAACTGCAACAAGCTGCTGGAGAAGAGCACTCAAAGTAGAAATCTGTGAAAAATAAACTTTTTTTTTTTGTAACCACAAAACTAAAGGAAGGAGTAGAAGCTCATCTTCTCAAAGGAGCAGATGGAAGAAGGAATAACTCAAAAAATTTCCAATTTCAACTCTCTCAGGGAAAAGATAGAGACAGGAAGAATGAGATCACTACATCTTAGATACCACAGTCAGAGAGAACCTGGGGACTTGGAGCTTTAATTCACAGTGCAAGATCTTGGGACCATCAGAAGCCTTGGATCATGACATTCTCCCCTTCTGCCTAACCATCTGCTTGGTAGGTAGAAAGTGAGAACTGCAGTGATACGTTAGAAATAGAAATTGTGGCATCAAAAGAAAGAATTATTTTGGAGAGAACAGTCCAGGAAATAAATCCAAGACTAAAAACTGGTAGGGCAATTGTACAGAAACAGTGACAAGAAAGCAAGAAAAAGCAAGAAAAAGGAAGAAAATGTCACAAGCACTGCAAATTTCAGACAAAATACTGACTATAATAAGAGAGAGATAGTGTCCTCTTTTGTCAGGAACAAAAGAAGAAAAAAAGGCAGGAAGGGAACAAAGCACAAGAGATACATGTTATAATTTGGAAAGGATTAAAGCCCAATGTGATTGACACTATTTTGCAGCTAAAGGGAGGTCACAAACAGTGCACGACTGTTTTGCTCCCTTTGAGTGGCAGGGCACGGCTTTGCGGCTAAATGTGAGCTTTGAGTGCCAGGTATTTTTTCACACTGTCTAGCTGACTTGGACTTTGGGCTAATGAGTGATGGCTGCATTTTTCCACCCCTGAACATGGTAAGGAAAAACATTCATTTAGCAATTGCTCTTTTAGCAGGGAAGTTAATTAGGAGTAATTCTTCAAAGAAGCCAATTACCCGCCCATCATTAATTGATGTGGTCTATTCAGAACCCCCTGTATTTGTTTTCACCTGCTTGGTTTGTGTGGAACATCCTATTTGTGAGCTACCTGAGACACTGCTCGGTCCTCTGATTAGATACAAGCAAGCACACACACAGTCAACAACTTAACATAGCAGTTAGCTCAATATGCACCATGATCAGGGATATGGTAAAACACTGCCCAAAAAATAAAGCATGCCCTTCAAACCAGAACATTTTCACAAAGGTGTATATATACACATAAACTCTAAAATCCTCAAGTACTGCTCAGAAAAGCTTCTGCGAGGGGAGCTGACTTATAGCTAAATGGTCATTCAGGGAAAAAAAATGTTCACAGGCTCACTCACCATTTCAAACTTTCACAAATGTATTTGACATTTTTCTAAAATTTTCATAGGAAATACAGTACTAAAATTCTCCCTCTAATTCTCTGGCCAAGTGAGATCTGAAACAAATACTGAGAGTCCCTGTAGAAACACTGTTATTTATGCAGATGTATTTTATTATGACAGGATCAGTTTAGCAGTCAAGTCCAAAGCAGAAAATTAAAATTGTGGGATTCTGTTAAAATAGGCTGAATTGGCAAATAAGGAGCAAAATATCCCGTGGCTTACATATAAAGCCTATGCAGCTAGCTGTGTTTTGCTCCTAAACGTCTTGACCTTGCAGCTTCAATGTATCCAGTTTGAAATCTTCAGGAGGAACTACAAGTGATAACATGTTTATACTGAAGATTTGTATTTCATCCAGACAGGCTGAGATGCAGCTCTGCACTTTCAGATAAATCCCTGGAAAGCAAAGTGCACTTGGTATTGTTTAGAAATAATATTTTGAGGGAAATGGGATTGTCAGCATGCGTAACCTGCCAAATCTACCAATAGTAGCCTAAAAAGTTACTGCCCATGTTACCGTCCTTTTTTGCTCTTTCACACAGCTGGCTTGCATGGATCCATGTGTTTATGTCCCTCAGACCTTTCTGTGCCACAGCTGGTAGCTTAGATTGAATCTCCTGCAGCAGCTCAATTAAACCAACAGATGTTGCATGGAATAGCTGAGATTTGTTTCTCCATTCCCTTCTATCAGCTCTGCTTTGGGGCTCAAAGCAGCAGCAGATATGTGCTTGCAGGAGGAACTTAAAGCTGCTGCAACCATTTGCTAAGTGAGTGTCTTTGGTGAAATGCAGCAAGCCAAAGACAAACAGCAATCAAAAATTAATGACTAGGTGAGTTTAGCCTAAGATTTGTACGTGGAAAGTTTGTCTTCTCCCTTCTCCATTCCCAAAGCATTTGTTAACTTCTTGCTGCTGAGTTTTCCTCCTTCTCTTTTCTGTTTTTGTATGACAAGCCAAAAACTCCCAGAGATGCTCCACAGTCATCATTCACAGCTCTTAAAATGCCTAGACCTATGTCGTCCTCTGGAATCATTCCTTTAAACTAACTTAGGATCTTTATAAAGATTCATATGCAAAGCATTAACTTATGGCAGAAATGTTCTGCAAATATTTATATTACTTTGCTCCTTCACTACCACCCGTCAAGTTGTGTATTTCTGCCATAATTATGTAAAATATGCTTCACTACTCAACTTACTGTAGGAAAGTTAATAACAATAATAATAAAAAAAAAAGAGATTAAGGCTGTTATAATAGTTCTCTTATCCGTGCCAATACTACATGCCAAGTGGAGTGACGCAACAGCTAGCATGCTGATCCTCTCTACATTTCTGTGTTACAAAACTAACAAAAATAAATCTAGTAATTCTGCTGTCTTTGAATAAACACTGACATAAGGTAACTCTGGAAAAGTCTGCACATTATAAGAGGAATAGCGTGAATAATATTAGCATAACCTCAGAGGATACTAAGTTTCAAATCTGCTGATTGTAGCTAAAATACATTTCCACATTTGGTTAATCTGCTTAATTTACCGTGAGAAAACTAACACCACACTGCCAACTAATTGTTCCAATACCTTAGTCTGCAAAGTCAAATGAGAGAGGGAAAAAAATCCCAACCAACAACTACCCCTCAGAATGAGCTATTTTCATTTTGCCTTTACATCAGCGGGCCCATTGAGACATCCTGGAAGCTGGCCAACTCACAGGAAATGATTGCTGGGATTCTCTGTTCCTCTCATATCTGTCATTACGCAATTATATCCACTGCTTCATTTTCCCTACTGAACAGTAGAGAAATTTGGTCATGTACATGTGAGAACAGATCTAGCAAAACAAGTTAAAGATGCAATTCTTTATAAATG